CTGGGGGGATGGTGTCCTCAGTAAGGGGGAGGTCTGGGGGGATGGTGAAGACTCGGCAGGGCTGGGTGCTGCTGTCTCCTCTGGAGCTGCTGGCTGTGGAGGCTGTGGGCGGAGCGACGTCGGCGGTGGGCGGAGTTGCGTCGTCGGCGGTGGGTGGAGTTGCGTTGGCGGTGGGCGGAGTTGCGTCGTCGGCGGTGGGCGGAGCGGCGTCGGCGGTGGGTGGAGTTGCGTCGTCGGCGGTGGGCGGAGTTGCGTCGGCGGCCGTGACTTCAGTGTCAGTGGCAACGGCAGCGATGGTGTTTGCTGTCCCGGAAGTGGGGAACCCGGCGGTGGCGGATGTGACGTCACCTGTGGGTTCTCCAGTAGTGGCCTTGACACTAGTATCACAGTGAACAATTTTATGGAAAGGAACTTCCTGCTGACCACACAGTGATCGCTCTCTGAATTAATTTCTTTGAAAGGGGGAAAAAAAAAAAGTATTACGTAACGTGAAAGATGGATCCTGGAGGGCCAAACGGTAAATGTAATTGTATCAAATCAAGCCTCATACATCCAGGTCTCAGTGGCCATTTTTAAATGTGCCTGTGTTATATATCCCCACTTCTACAAACCACTCATTCATACTGAGCAGACTATTCAACAACAGAAAGCATCACAGCTTACCAGAACATGGAGGAATGGACAATGAGCCAGGCAGGTCATTTGCCATCCAGCTCCTCGTAACCCACTGATAAGACCAAACATCCCTTACACAGCCCGCTTGAGACTATGTGAACCTTCTGAGCAGCACTGAGGCACCAGTAAAGAGGCAAAGCCCCCCACTAAGGGCCAGCACAATGGACTGAAACACACAACGCTGGCGATCAGAAGACCACACTGCATGATTAATTGCAGCCGCACTTCATTAAGGGCTTGCAGTGAAGTGGATAAGTATGCCAGAGGCTTCTGAGCCAGAACTCTGGGCCCACATTCCACTCCAGGGATGGATGCCAAGGAAGGTGCGTTCATAATTGGGCCAAACAGGATCAGCTTATAAATCTTTCCAACACGTGCCTATGACAGGCAGTGAGAACAGGAGAGATCAATGGGCAACTGTGCTGTGAGGAGAATGACAGAGCTTGAGAACAAACGTGAGAGAGTATGATCTAAAACCAACCAACTCATGTTGGAAAGGGGCAGCTGGACAGGCAGTGTGGATTAGATTGGGGTCCAATCTCCAGTCTGAATGGTGGTAAATGTAGAAAACCCAGCCTTTGGCTAAGCCGTGTTTAGGATCCCCTTCCGAGCCTCTAGTAATGGAAAAACAGATCTCCCAGACACTTGTGAGCAACAGTCGGGAGTAAAATCATTGGGGTGATCCATATTCTGCTTTTCAGATATTTTGTACCAACCTGTTTAAAAGATGTATTACACAAGTCTGGAGTAGGTGTACCTGGGTTTCCTGGTTCAGGAGGTAGAGAAACTACTACTGCAGCACAAGGGCCCTCCAATTCTAGTTTTGAATGGTTACAAAAACATGGGAAAGGCTGATTGACAACTCTGATCGATCTAAATCGAAGAAACGAAAACCTGGGCCCTCTCCCTGCTAGCTGAGAGAGACACACCACCTGGAAGATGGACCAATGGCAGGAGAGTGGGGGAGGGGTGCTATGAAGTGGGAGGTCATGCGAGAAGATCTCCAGGAATACCCCAAAGCAGAGACGGCAACAGACCCCACCACAATCCCAGATATCAAACACTCTTTCAGAACAGTAAGCCTTCTCTCGCATATATGGAAACTTTACATTCATGCTTGACAGAGAAACAGTAGTGGGAGTGGTTTATGCATTTTATTATGGTACACGTAACATATTCCCAATCTGTTTGCAGAATTAACAGCACAATGACCGGATGTCATATGACATGGTCTCATATACACATGCAACATTTACATGCCAAGTAAGTCATAGAGATCATACATAACACAGGCAGCTCAGTGAGTACACAAGATTAGCAGTGGGTTTGTATTGGGACAGATGGTGAGGCATGGTGGTGATGAGAGGTGACTGGAATCAGTCAGTCAATGAGAATGTTGAGCCTTTTGGCAGCAGGAACACTACCCTACGTTCAAATCCCAGCATCCACACAACAGATCTCACTTGTTTATGAATACTGTTTTAGTTGAAAGGAACAAGAGGCCCTGACCCCCTGAACACAGTCAGAGCTGTGCAATGCAGCAATTTGGTCGAGTGTTTAGAACTGTCACACATCCATTCAAAATTTCTCCTGCACCACAGAGAGTTCCCATGCATGGAAACAAGGCTTTTTGCCAAGTTGTTGATAAGAAGAGTTTTTTGTGAAGTTTTCTTATTCTAATTAACCCTGTCTGTATAAACACAATGCAAGCATCAAGGCATCATTTGCATCTCTTATTTTGTAAGAAATCAGTTCATCGTGTTTTTACGACTCATTTTCTAGTCCAGCAGCCACCACAAAGATGTAGGAAATCAGTAAGAAACAATTTTAATTTGCAAATCCAATTCAAAATCCCCTCTTTCCTGATTTCAGGGTCTGCATTCCCCACGTCACTCTCACTGAAACTTACCTCTTTAACTTAGGGCTCTTTACAGTCACAATCTGGCAAATACTGCAAACCCATGAGAGAGAGAGAAATAGGAAAGGAGGGCTTTGAGGTTAGGGAGAATTTGCTGAAACAGGAGAGGATTTCAAGATACTCAGTAAAGATATGGGTTATGCAAGTCACTCCCAACACTACTTTACGGGAGCTGTGAACCAGGAGTTCAGGGTTCCTTGATAAGAACTGTGCTCAAAGAGAAGATATTCTAATCAGGAATTACCAGGAACAGGATCCCATTCCATGTCTAAATTAGTAGCTACTTAATGAATCAGTCAGGAAGAAACTTTCATTTATGTAGTACCTTTCTCAACCTCAGTGGTATTCCAAAATGCTTCACACAGTTAAAAGAAGTATTTTATAAAAGATAGTCACCATTATAAACATTGGAAACATAGCAGCCAATTTGTAAAGGAAGACTCCATTATCAGCAGATGATCGGATCATGGTTAAGGGGTAACTAAATCAGAATAGCAGGGTAAATAAACCAGAATAGCAGGGAAAATAGACCTGCTCACAGCTGCTGGGAACTCAACAGTGAAGAGATGTGGCGAATTTGGCAGGGCACAGAATGTTAATTCAGCACAGAGTGTGCCATGGACACAACAGAAAGCTTCACCAATGAAGAACAACGGTCAAAAAGGGGAAGGATGTTTCATCATAAATCAACAAATGACTGAAAG